GGGGGGGGGGGGGGGGGGAGGTCAGAAGTACTTTGGCGCCCCGCTGTGGACATGTGACTGTTCCCCAATGTTTCTGAAGTCCATAGCCCACTTTCGGGGGCTGAAGGAAGAGCAGACTGCTCTTGCATTTACAGAAAAAGCAGTCAAGTCTATGTAAGTCCATTAACAAGAAATCGGAGTGAAGGCAAAGGCTTCCTTCACGTATGCAAGGTACTGTGCCCAGCATACACCCGGAGTCAGGAGGAAGCAGGCAAGTTGTCCTTTGTTGGTGTCTCTAAGATGGGTGCTCTTTGAATGGCACCCATGCATAAAGTATTTTGCACGAATACCACAAAAACCCAGGTCAAGGCCAGCGGGGACGATTTTGAGGGTCTTTCCTACAATAGTCTACCCATTATCTACTCTAAAAAATAAGTTTTGTTGCTGTCGTTGTCTCTTGAGGGGTCCCACCCTTACTTCCTCCATCTGACCCTGGATAGAGTGAGGTTGATGACGTGGTGCCTCTCCTGGGCCTCCAACCCCGTATTTCTCGCCAGGGGCCCTGCACCCCCACCCTCTACCCCCACCCTCCACCCCCACCCAGCTCCGGAGGACTTGGGGTGCACCCTCACAGTTTTCTTGGCGGGCTCCTTTTTCCTCCTCTTCTCCGAGTTGCTGTGGAAGGGCAGGTCGCGGCCGCGGTAGGACGGGGCCCTGCTCAGCTCCAGCTCGCTGTAGGGTGGCAGCGCGTCCTCATCCGCCGCCTCATCCTCATCTTCGCCCTCGCTGGCCCCGGCCTTGTAAGTGGCGGGCGGCGACCAGGCGTAGTAGGAGGCGCTGCGCGGGCCGAGCTGCGCACCCAGCTTGGACGGCGTCTCCAGGCTGCCACCCCGGCTGGTGCTCTCGGCTCGCCCCTGGCGCTCCAGCACGCTGCTCAGGTACGAGTGGTCGTACTTGGGCGCGGTGCCCGGGGTCCGGCTCACCAGGCGCGGTAGCGGAGCCTCCTCGGGCGGCCGGCGACGCGGGGGACTGTAAGCCCAGCCGCGGTCCCCGTCTCCCGGCGGCGGCTCGCGGCTGCGCCCGCGCCCGTAGTACTCGTCCAGCGAGCCGTCCTGGTAGAAGGTGCCGCCGTGCGCCCGCGACTCCGAGCGCTCGAAGCGGCTCCCGGTCCGCGCCTCGTGGCTGTTGCCGTTGGCGCGGCGCGACCGCTGGCCGTAGGAGTCTGCGAAGGCCGCCAGCTCGTCCATCGACACGGCCGGCACGCCCGTGGCAAAGTTCTTCCGCGACAGCATCTCGGATTTGGAGCGCGGCTGGCTGCGGGCAGATGGTCACTGGTTACTGCGTTTGCAGGGGAAACCTTGCAAGACACCCCCCAGCGTTCCAGAGGCCCAGCCTCTGCCCTCCACTCAGAGGGATGAGTCACCACGGCGTTTTTCATGCCGCCTGTCCACCAAGAGCAAACTAAACTCTTTCACGAGTTTGTGTGAAAGATCAGAATGGAGCTGTGTACCTAGAAATAGCCTGTGATCGGTGCAGTACTGACGGATCACCTTCTGATCATGTCCACCCATCCTCACAGCCACAGCAAATAGCAACACACAGCTCTGGTCCCAGGAGACTGGAATATTTGGTGACAAAGAGAGGGCTGTCCCTCCCTCAGAGCCAAGGACCAAGTGACCTATTAAGTCAGGAGGCCACAGAGAGGAAGGTGGGGTCACTATCTTTGGAGGGCAGATGATGGGTGATGGTGCCAGTCAGGGAGGAAGCTGGGGAACACATTGTTAAATGTTGACTGGGCTTGGCTTATCACCCCAGGGAAAATTCCTTAGCATCTGGAACTTGGTGTTGCCTTGCCTTAAAATAGGGACATTAACAGTAGCTGCTTTTTAGAAGGATAAGGATTAACTACAAGGATGTTAATACGATGCATGACAAATGATGAGGACAATGGAGATGATGGGTGGGAACCTTTAAAGGTTATAGAATAAAACCTAGGGAGAAAGCAATGTCCTAGTTCATTAAGGGGCCGAAGACACACTTCAACAAGCCTTAAGTGATTACTTCTCACACATGATGTCACAAGGGTGTAACATACGCAGGAGAGAGAGATTCCATAACCCTTAGAAAGAAATGTGGGAGAATAGACTAGAACAGATACATGGTGGCCCCTGCCCTCTGACCGCCGTCACCTGTGTCTGAAGCTCTCGCGGTCCTCTTTGTTATACTCCAGGGCTGGCCCCCGGCTGTTCCCACTGTTGCCTCCCATGACACCTGACCAGTAGTCCGGGTTGCTCTCCAAGTCCCCAGACAAAGGGAACTGCTTGCTCCTCATCTGGTGGAAGGACTGGCGGAAATTGTTGTCATCATCATGCAAGGAGCTGAGTTCTGAGATGGTGTTGTTATCTGCAGGGACAAAAGCCGCCGTCACAGAGTTTTCTACATGTTAGGAAGGGAATGCTGCTGAGGGCTGAGATTGGATACTCCAGAAACTCCTGCCTGAGGGCCTCGGTCCTGACCAGTGTGGGCTGTAGATTGCAGCGGTGGTATCTGTGTTCCTAGCTCAGCAGGAATTGGCTCCAGCTCAACCCCAACTTGCTTACAGAGAGGGAGGCTTCCTACGTGCTGTTCTTGGAACAGGGAGACAATTGTCTTTGTTCCACCTAAGGCAGGCTTCCCAGAACTCAGGCTGTCTGCAGCTGGCCTCCTGGTACATCACCCTTGTTCAAATGTTTTTCTCTGTCCTATATAATTTCTGTGATGAACTTTGACGATCCCAGCCATGCTGGGCCAAAAGAGACAAAGAGGGAAAAAAGCCATCAATCATAGCATCTTTCCAACTCCTGGCACTGTCCCAAGAAAGGGGCTTTAGTACCACCACCATATATACCATTCCGTTCAATTTCCACCATTCTGTTCCCCAAAGAGCACAAAGTCAAGGTCAAGAGTATGTTAACATCTGGTTTCAGAACACTCACCTTTTAGACCATGCTCATGGTCTAAACTATCCTGCCAACTTCTAAGGTCTGTTCCCCTCCCTACCAAAGTATTCCAGGTTTATGCAGTGGCGAGTGGCCAGGCTAGAAGTTTGGAGATAAGGAGGATGGACTTTGCCTTTATGTCCACTGAGCTGTGGCTTGAACTCTGGTCCCAGTCTAAAAATGTAAGAAAGATGCCTAGTCACAGCTTTCTTATTTCCTAAGTAGCTTTGTGCAGAAGTGTTTATGGATATGGACTAGGACCAGAATTATGATCTGGGCTGGAAAAAAAAAAACAACCCAGAAAATTTGATTATTTATAGAACTTAGAAATGTACTGGATTTCATTTTACTTAAAAAACAAATCTAGTGAACCTGTTTGCAATGTAACAGGATCCACTTGTTTTCTAAATCTTTTCATTGAGACTTCAAAAATATTATTAAAAACAACATTTACTAGTTTAAGTCCTTGTTGCCGAGTGAAAGGTGAGCTAAGATTAGATGCTGGAATGCAGAAGTGTGTATCTCAGGTTCCCTCTGCTTTCCCTTCATCCCCAGTGAACCTGGGAGGATTCTGTACAACAGCAGGACCTCCTCATCTTGTTTTACCAAGAACACACAGGAATGGCAATTTACACAGGGATCATTGGGTTTTCAATTATAATAAAAATTTAAACTTATATTCCTCTTTAAGAAATTGACTGTGTCTATTTGTGTGTGTGTGTATCTGGTGCCTGCCTATGTGTATGCATCTGGAAGCCGGAGGACTTGGTGTGTTCTCCTTATTCTCACACTAAATCTGGAGCTAGGCTGGTGGTCAGCTAGCCCCAATCATCCTCTTGTCTCTGCCCTACAGAGCTGGGGTTACTGGAAACGGCAACCATGTTCAGCTTTTTTCATAGATGTCTGGATCCAAACTGAGGCCCTTATACCTGTACAGCAAGCACTCTTACCCATCTCCAGCCCTTATATGCACACACACACACACACACACACACACATACACAAGCTTTAAAATGTACTTGATGAGACCAATGCAAACCACTATTGTCAGTTCAGAACTTTCTCTAAATTTCGGGGAATACTTGACATTTTCATTTCTCCAGATGGTAAGTACAATCACTACTTGACCACTCACAGTAACAAGCTGTCCAGGTTATATGTCACACTAAAACTTCTGCCACGGTGAACACTAACATCAACATACCCTTTGACAGACATCTAATAATGGCAGTTTAGGACGGGGATACACCAACATTTTCTGTAAAGGACTAAGCAGGGAACGTTAGGCTTTATGAGCCACACCATTCAGTTCTGCCATTCAACAAGAAGTTATAGAAAATACGTAAGTGAATTAGCCTGGCTGTGTTCCAATAAAACTTTTAAAAAACAGAAATTGATATGCCTGTGCCCAGAAGATACTGTTTGCAGACTCCTGCTCTAGACATTCCAAGAATGTAAACATCCAGGAGTAACCACCACTTAGAAGGGTAACACAGAGGAGAATCACAGTGGCCGACAAATTCATGAACCTGGACCTCAAACCTCCAATTCTTACAGAATCTGTGAAACCAAGACATCTATTTTATAATGAGATGTTCTAGACTGACCACTCCATGATCCACTCTAGGATTTTCTCTGTTCTCCAGGATAGAACCAACCTCTAAAGAGAACTATATTCTGAGTCATTCCACACAGTTGTTCCACTGCCAATCTGGAGGCACTAGTGATCTGGGTTCTAGTCTTGACACTGGTGATTTTCTCTTCCTGGATCATTTCCTCCTCTGTGAAGGAGGTGGAGTCAGCAATCACTTCAAGGTCTCAACATTCAACCACCATAGTCTTAGTATGTATCCGAGATAGGAGGCCAATCGGCTTAGCACAAAATTTTTTGTATATAAGTCACAAGATTGGGGACCATCTAAGTTCTTCTAATTCCATTACTATACTCCAAGCGCTGGGCTACCTCATCTGAACACTGCACAGGTTGACACGGACCATCTCTAAGATCCCTTTCAACTCTAAGATTCCACTACATTGAGAGCAGCCAGTTTTTGAACACCATTTGGATCCAGGTAGTCAAGCGCAGAGACATCACATACACTCAAGTCCATTCTTTACTTCTGATCTTAGTTATTAACTTTTCCTCTAAGCCATGACACTCATAGATTTCTTGCCCCAGCTTCTCCTGGATCTAGGATCTCTGTCTCTGTCCCCTTACAGAGATCCATGACAACACCGTTACAAGGAGCTTGTCAAGTGCTGTGACATCTGCATTCCTGACATTCCAATCTGGAGATGGTCTTTTTATAGCTGGGTTGGTGGGAGGACACAGCAATGGCTGCAGCAGACAGGATGAATTTAGAATTGTAAACTGGGTGGAATATGTTGTCCTTAATCTGAATAAAATTCCTCTAGTCTGGGACTGTTTTCCCAACAGCTCCATCAAGTCTGTTGTTGGTTCCAAGAAGAAGAGGGTTCAAAGAAAGTGCCTAGTGACCTCACAGCCAGGCTTGCCAGCATCCTCTTGATAATTAGCCCATCCAAGTCAGACCTGCCCTGCTCAGCCTCCCGTGATAGACAGTAATTTGGAACCCACTCTAAGGACTCAGCAGTGTCAGCTGCAGTCTCCAAGGGCTGTGGCTAAGTGAAGGGTTGGGGCCCTGCCACCCACAGACTTAGTAATTAACACGTTCTTTGACAAAAGGCACAGCCTCCTTGCTCACCCCACCGTCTCCGTGGTTGGGCACCTCAGAGGGAGTCCAGCCTCTTTTTCCTAGATTCATTTATCAGAGTTTCTTCCATTTTCATTTCAGCCTCCAGGTGGTAAGTCAGCATGTGGTTGTTCCACACTGGGGCCCTTCAGGCTGAAGACAGCCGATAGTGAATAGTGGCATCTCGGGTGTGCGGGTGTGTCTGTGCAGGTGTGTGTGTGTGTGTGTGTGTGTGTGTGTGTGTGTGTGCGCGCGCGCGCTATGTAAATGTAAGAGGTTGACATAGTACCTTCCTTGATCCTCTCCACCTTATCTTTTGAGAAAGTGTCTTTTACTGAACCTGGAGTTCACTGACAGGCTAGAATGGGTACCCATTGAGCTCCAGGGATTGGCTTATCTCTGCCAGCTCAGGGCTGGGGTTACAGATGTGATCTCTTGGCCCAGCGTTTCCATGGGTGCTGGGGATCCTGAGCATGGGTCCTCACACTTGCTCAAGCAATGACTTTACTGACTGAGCCATCCCATATCTTAAGTGACTATTTTTGAGTATTACTTAAAGAGGGTTGTAAGGGGACTGTTCTAATGAAATATTTTAAACCCAGGATCACAAAACCACAGCGATCAAGACCAACTGCCCCACAGGCAGACACAACATGAACCACATGTCCCTGTCCCATCCTTCCCATAGAGACCCTTCTATGCCCTTCCTTGTCCCCAGAGGTCCTTTTGGGGATTGGTGTCACAAAAACTGCTGGCTCAGAGCTTCAAATCTGATGACCCCCATGTCCTCTTCAGCTACCAAATCCTGAATGAAGCACAGGTCACACGAAATTAACAGATGCTCACATCTGCCTCTCATCCTTCTGGCTGGATCGAACTGAGCCAGCTCCTTCTCGACATAGTACAGGACCTTCATGGAGTCTCTCTCTTTGTCGGCTTGGATCCGGTAACCTTTGCGAACTGTTGAGGAAAGCACACGAGAGGGAGCTAAAAAACAGAAGAGCAAGCAAAGGAGGCCTCCATTCATTTTACCAAGCAGAAAACGTGGTTCTGTTAGAACAGCTCTTTTGGAATCCCCCAGAAATAATAAACTATGGTTTATACACAGGAGGCAGACTTGAGGTCCTCTACCAGAGGGTGCCATGGGAGCAGAGCCTGGAGGTCGACAACCAAACCCCACTGCAGGGTCCGGTCCGTCACTTGGGATCGTTCCTTCCTGTTGTCTGGCCTTCTACAGATGTACTGAAGCTCACCTCTGTGCAGCTTTTGAGTTCCACTGGAGGAACAAGCTCACCCGAAACAGGAAAAGAAGACCCCTTTCGGTTTAGGGCCCACATCACTCTCCAGCATGAGGTCACACTGGCACTTGGCAGAAGTGCACAGACAGATCCCCAAGCATCACAGACCTTCACAAAGGCAGACTGAAAGCCTCCAGTTGCCTGGGAGATGGGGAAAAAAATCCCTTAAGCTGGATGGTGCGTGCCTAAGAGCTAATATTAGATTCTAGACTGCATACACAGTAGCACAAAACAAGCTGCACAACACATGGATTTCTAATCACACTTCCATTTTATTTCCTTAGCATTTTCCTTTTAGGAAAAGAAATGCCATATTTTAGATGTGACTAATTTAATTAAACCTGCTGCTTTGTGGTTAGAGACAGGTGTTATTTTCGGGGCTTAATAAAACAAGACTAAAACAGGGGAAATAATACCATCTCCTCCATCTCCATCACTCACGCTGTCAGAGACCAAGGCTGCTCACTCCCCACATCCCCTAAGGCTAGCCCAACATCAGCCCACAGGGTGATAAGACATCAACAGGCATAACAGACAGATGGGTCGGGGGTGGGAATGGAGCTGAGGGAGGGACACTCGGGGTAACTGGACCATACTCACTGGACACTGACAATGTGCCAGCCACTATGCTGAATGTCTATGGGGAAGTTTGTTCCTCACCACCATGCAAGTGAGGACGGCCGTCGGTCGTATTTTGTGGCTGAAAAACTAAGGAGGATTTTAGAACACGACCAGAAATATTTGGCTTGGCAGCACCAGGCATGGAATCATGTGGTCTCATTGACCGGAGCTTAACTGGATTAGGGCGTCCTACCTCTCTAAAGTATAAAAGGAGATACTTTAGAAGGGGTTGCTTTTGTTTACTTGTTTGTTTTTAAAGAGACAGATGAAGAACACAAGACAGCAAAGCCTGAAGTGAGCAGTGGTCTTGGGTACTCCAGAGAGTGTATGATCTGAAGCACAGGCCTATCCTCTAGCCAGCAGGAATGTAAAACGGTAGTGGATAATCCCACTCCAACATTCCCTGTTCCCAAAGCGGTGCACAGAACAAAAACAAGGAAACGGCCGGGCGGTGGCGGCGCATGCCTTTAATCCCAGCTCTCAGGAGGTAGAGGCAGGCGGATCTCTGTGAGTTCGAGGCCAGCCCGGTCTACAGAGCGAGTTCTAGGACAGGCTCCAAAGCCATACAGAGAAACCTTGTCTCAAAAAACAAAAACAAAAAGGAAACCACATAAATGTATATATATCCAATAAAAGTGACGTTTTTCTGTCTCTGGATGTATTACTTTACTGAAAAAGCTCCCCACCCCCCAGCTATTTACATGGAAGATTAAAATAAAAAATTCTACAGGGCTCCAATCACAACCCAAGCGCTGAAGAAAGCCGCCCACACATCCATTTGCAGGTGCACAGATTTTCTGTGTGAGAAAACACTGGCCAGGGCATGTCCATCTCGAATTGTGAAATGGCTTAGAAAAAAATTAGTAAGTCCTCAGCACATACGTTTCAGTGGCACCTTCACCCAGAGGTCAGGTCCATCCATAAACCCTAGGCAGAAGACATTTTTAGCAGAAATGATTTTATTTATCAAGCTACACATTCTTCTACTTCTGCAGAGGCGTTTACAGAGTAGTGCAGACTGTTCAATTAAAATGCAATTATCCCACAGAAGTACTATGTCTGCACAGAGGCAGGTATGTCTGATGGATAAGGTGCAGGGCTGAAAAACAGGGGTCCCAACATCTTACAGGCATGCTGATGCTGGCTTACTGGGGGACCTCCAGAGAATGGAGACCCATCAGGGCTCAGTTTCCATGTAATCACTTCAAGAGAAGACAACTAAAAGCTAATGAGTGGAGCACTTGAGTGCTCTGTAATGAACTGAACTGGGGTATCTTAAATGCCACCTCATCCAAGGAGCTTCCTTTGGCTCTTATAATTCTGTCTCTTTCTGTTCCAATCTTTTTCCCAACTTAAAAATCATTTGATTTGAATTTGTATTATAGGCCTTAATATATTCTAGTTCATTCCAAGTTCTTTATATAGATGAGTATAATCTTAAAATTTTCTGAAGATATTATAATTTAAGATTTCCATGTGCCTAAGACTGTGTTTTACATACAACGAGTATTAAATGTTTGTTGACTTGTTCCTAGCCTAGGAATGGAAAGGATTCATGGCTCTTTGGAAAGTATTCTTTGTAAGCAATAATCCATAGGCCAAAACCTCCAAGAAGACAATGACTAGAGTTCTCTGTTCACCTACGTATCTCCAGCATCGAGCACAGAGTCTGGCACATTTAGACACTCAAACCATGCACATTCAAACGAATGGATGAAGGCATGAATGAACTGGAATTAGCAAATGGTTTTGTGTGGATTACCAAGTATGGCATAGGAAGTTATGTGGGTGATTTACTGGAGAATTTTAACCAGGAAGGGAAGGCCCTGAATGGTAGCCTGAGGAAGCAAGAAGGTTTTGTGGCTGTCATTACCGATATCATTTTCTAAGGAAAGAACACCAGCGTGGAGTCAGGGAGGGGCCCCCTCTGCCTGCAGCTCTGTCTCCTCTGCCCAGGTGTTCTTCATATGGGAAGCACTTTTACAGCCAATCTTCAGTGTCACCAAAATAAAGGTTACTGATTAGGGAGGGTTGTTGCTATCTGTAACTAGGTACCAGCTGTTCCCTAACAGAGAGAGGAGAGAAGAGAGAGAGAGAGAGAGAGAGAGAGAGAGAGAGAGAGAGAGAGAGAGAGAGAGAGAGAGAGAGAGCTGAGCAACAGCTGGAGGTGCTTGGACTAGAGTTTAGGTTGTCTTCAGTGTCATTAGGAAAAATTACACTCCTCATTATGATACAGATCAGATTGTGTGCATGGGTTATCAATCTCTGAGAAGTCGCAGTAACTACAGCCTCAGGGGAAGATGAGAGTTTTAGCTTTCAATACTAGCATCATACGAGACTCCACTGCGGCAGAATCCTTCAGCTTTGCCTTCTCCATCACAGCAGCCTGGAGACGTCAGAGACTTAAATTCTTCTAATTTGTCAAAAGACACAGGCAAATGATTGCTCTTCCGACTTTAGGAGCATCATCTGTTTGGTTTTAGTTGCTAAAAATCAAGACAATTCTCCCTTTAAAGGGTGTGGCTATTTTTATATAAAATTAGAAGCTGCAAGTTTGATTGTACAGCACACTAAATTCTTCTCTCATTTCCATAGAATCTGGCTCTGTGTCACATATGTGCTCAACAGCATTTGAATCACCAGGAAACCTTTTTCTGATCCTCTCCAACAACATGATTTCCTTTCTGACTGCATTACAGTTTTTCTATATACTGTTCTGTATTTCTTATCCATTTTATTTCCATCAACAAGACTCCAGCAACCATGCCAGTAGACTATAATTTTCTAATTTTTTTGAGGGCAGGGGAAATTTGTAAAATTTTGAGATGGCGGTCTTTGAACTTGCTGTGCAGTCTAGGTTGGTCTCAAATTTGTAGCTCCTCTTGCCTGAGTCTCCTGAGTGCTGGGTTTATAAGTGTGTGCTACCAGCCCCAGTTACAGATCATCTCTTGATTTGAGAACATGTAGAGCCATGTGTTTTGGCTCATGTCTATGATCTCAGCATACATGAAACTGAGACCAGAGGATTGCCCTGAGTTGGAGCTAACCTGAACTACATAAGACAGTTAAAGTCATCCAAGATCTTACAAAGTAAGAATATAATATACTTACTTAATATACTATAATATATTATATACTTCTTATAGTCTATATATATATTTAACATGCCCCAAACTAAACCAACCAACAAAAAAAAAAAAAAAAAAAAAAAAAAAAAAAAAAAAGAGTTCTCAAAAAAAAAAAAAAAAAAAAAAACCACATGGAATAGTGTCAGGTTGGTTTTACCTATAATTTAAAAGCAAGAGAACTCTTTGAAGTGTGGTGGTATTTTTGCAAAAAATGGCCTAGACTGTTGGCCAAAGTCCAGCATATTTAGAAAATGCCTTTTCTTGGTAATGTTTCAGCTCAGGGTCAAAGGTGATGTATTCTGTTTTCCAGTTCAGCCTGGTCCAAGTCCTTTGGTTTGCAGGCTCTTCACACTTCAGCCCCTCTCCCGCCAGCCTTCTAATTGTAACTTTGTACCAGAGACAGAACATTAGACAATTCCCAGGGATGTCCAACTATAATCTAGAAAACGTGTTGCTGTTAAAGAATTTAAGCTGCTATTTTGACCTAATTAAGGTTGGATTATGTTTTGATCAATTTCCGCATTTATAGCCCGACTCTTATGGACTGCACAGGCAATCTCTAAGGTGCACTTCCATGGATATAGGCTTGTTCTTCCTGCCCCATCCTAATGAGCTCAGCAAGGCTGTTTATGGATGGTGGAACAGCTGCCAGATTCCACCCCCAGGGTGACGGCAGCTCAACTGTGGGAGAAGTGAGTCTTAAAATTTGCATATTCTGTGTACATACAGTAGGCATATATATATATGTGTGTGTGTGTATATATATGTAGGCACACACCTCTGTTCATTTTAAAATGACATTTCAAGAGCCTGCTTGCCTGCTCACTTCTTTTGTCAGCAAGATGAATGGAGTCCAGTATACTGAGATCAAATGGACTAGAGCAAGGGAGCAGTAGGGGGCGGAGCCAGTTCTACTCAGCAAGGTAGGGAAGGGGTCATGCAGTGAGGACCAGGACAGCTACAGTAGAGATGGAGGGAAACAGAACAATTTACGGTTAAAGTATAGGCTGAAGGCCTTGGTGACCAATTGGTAAGAGAGTAAGGAATAAGGAATAAGAGAGGAATTCCTGCTTCTGATTTGAGTCACTAGGCAAGCAATGATGCTATCCTCTAAGATAGGTTATATAGACTCTGGTTGGAAATAGAAAAGCAAAAAAAATTTTTTTTGAAAGGGTAGACTGAATTCCTAGAGGCTAAGGTTTAAGTGCCTGTAAGACATCCAGCCGGAGACATTCAGAAACAGTTGGCTATACGGGACTTAGCAGAAGAAGAGAGGTCAGAACAAATCATGACTGGGAACCATTAGCATATGGATGATGGCAGTAGACAGGATTGGCTGGAGAGTGGACCACAGACAAAGCAGGGACACCAACACTGAGAAGATGCACACGGGAAGAAAGGAGCATGGGTCAGAACAGGCAGGGAAACAGGCAGAATGTCGAGCGAGAAAGGCGAGGAGGGGGGGCAGCATTTTCGAGACGTCACGGGAGGCTGAGGACTGTGACGCAGCATCAGATTTAGCCATCAGGCAGCTTGCCTGCAGCAAGATGGAAGTTAGTTGAGTTGGTAAGAGGGGAAGGAAGCAGAGACACTGAGTATCTTAAAAGCGCTTTCAAGGGGTTTGGCTGAGAAGGAGCAGAGAAGCGACATCAGGGTCTTCTACCAACGGCTGCATTTCAGCGGGAGAGATCTGACCACATTCCGAATGCCGACAGGAAAGAGCCGCTGAGATGGAAGGTTAGAGCTGTGAGGTGGAAAACGGATGAAGTGTGGATATTCGACAGAGAATGCAAAGAAGATGATGGATCCAGAGCAGCCCAGGAGAAGCCCATCTTTTGTCGTAGTAACAGAGAAGGGCTTGAGTAGCAGCTGTAAATGATGGGAAAAAGGAATCTGGGTACCCCTTATCCTCTTCCATTTGGTAACTAAAGGGCTCTTTTCTACATAACTCATCACAGATGCCTTTCCTAACCAACGTTCAAAAAAGTGTTGTGTACAAATATAACCCGAAAATTACTATGGCTAGATGACTACCCTAATATGTATGGAGCAGCATACAGATGTAAAAAGGTGGAATTCATATTTTTATAGACCAGCATTTATTAACATTTTTTTTTTAGTGTTCCTTAAAGAATAATCTACATTGGCCCAGTCTATCTTCATTAAATGAAGATTGGCCGAACACCATCACTAATGCTGCCCACGAGTCTAGGAATGTGCTCTTGAGAACTATAAACAGCCCTGTCCTGATGCCACAAGACACACATATCATGATGACAGGGTTTCTGACTAGCTATGGTCAGCACTGGCTACCATCTTTCCTCTATGTCCTGGCTAACAGAACGGACTCTGATTTTGCTCACTTCCAAGGCAAATAGTTGTTTAGGCCTGAGAGGTGGGTCTTCGTGAGCTCAAGCCCATCTGGTTTAGGAAGAAGTGTGGGACACGATTTTTCTTCAGATGAAACTGCTGGAAAAGGGCTTTTTTGGAAGAGGGAAGAGCTTCTGGGGAGCATTTTCTCACTCTGGGGAAAGTGGCACAAAGATGAAACACAGCTTTCTCTCTCTCCAAAGGTATCTAATCCCCAGAACTACCGCTGTCATCAAGGGAGCCACCCAAGGGGGACAAAGCGTGTGCTAAAAAGGACAGCACAAAAGACAGAACTCTGTCCTGCATGGGAGCCGTCCAACTGTGAGCAGTCAAGTCAGCAACTACCGCGCCTTGGGATTCTTGTCATAATTCATTTTTCTGCTACGAATTGCAGTTGGTTAATATGATGGGGACAGATGATTAAAACTGCAACAAGCAGGAATGGAGAAAAGATTAAGGCCAGCCTGGTCTACCCAGCAAGTTCCAGGCTAGCCAGAGCTACTTCGTGAGCCCCCGAGACCCTATCTCAAAAGGGGAGGGATACTTAAATACTTGTTAGTTAATTAATAAGACTTATTTTATCGTGTCAGTGCATTAAATAAAGAGTAAGGTGAAAGAGTTCTGGTCAGACAGGAAAAGGAAACGGGGTGTAAGGAGAAATTAGCAACTGAAAGCATGTGTGAAGTTCCCCTCGGTTTTCTTTTGCCTGCGCCTTCCTTCAGGGAAATGGACTGTGCTGTCTTTATCTCTTGCATGCCCTGCACATCCTTGATCATTAGCTTTTCCTTCTCAGCTTGTGACTCATTCCCAGTCTCCTGCGTCAGAATTCTACTAATAGTTCCAGGGAAGAGACAAACACAAATACCAGTTACTCACTGAGGATATCCACTCCTGCCACAGCCAGGTATTGGGGGTTCAGTACGTGGGCTGGGAACCCTGCCTCACCTCCCACGCACACAGATTGAAGTCACTGAAATCCACGATGCCTACAGTCTTAACCTTCACAGCTTGCAGTCCTGTTCCAATGCCTCCAGGAAAGCTGTATTTCAACATCTCTCCACCTCTCCACCCACCTTTGCCCCTCGGTCTCTGCTCTGCACGAATTCATCTTTCCCTGAATAAAGCTGATTGTCCCCGTCACCAGCCCCCTTCACCAATCATCTCATTTCTGATCTGTAGTGCTGGACAACTCGGGCTCATCCTGAAGTCTCCCCTTTGCTTCATTTTTTGACATCTCCTTTCTTTCAAAGTGTTTCTCAGATTTATCATGGCATTCTCGACTCCCACTGTCTCCACCATAAACCAGATGCTCGTGAAGCGCACCTGCACGCTGTAGTCAGGGCTTTGTTCTCGGTCTCTGAGCTCTCTCCCACCTCACCACCTGCCATCTCTGCACTCAGCATTCTGCCCATCATGGTGGCTCTCCCACTTGTTTGCACCACTAAGCCCCAGCTCTTCTGGAGAGGTGTCAAGGCCCTCTGTAATCCCCATCAAACCCTTCTATCTTCTTCCAGGCAGCTGGACAAGCTAGACACTGACTTGTTCACATTTGTGCACTGGGATTTGACTAAATGACCGACCTTGCTTCTTTGGGACAGTCAGCAGCCCCACGGTTTTCCTAACTCTTCCTCATCTCTCCTGGCCCAGTTCTGATCTCATCTCCTCCATGAAGACTGTAATAACTCCAGCTCTTTCGTCTTTGGACTCTTAAGTACCATATTCTTCAGCATCTAATTGTCTTAGTAAAGATCCATTCCCTCCTTTGAGAAGCTGTATTCTACAGTCTGCCGTCCCTCACAGTGCCTGGTACAGTCTCGAACCTTGAACACTAGGAGGGGATGAGATCACTATTTAACCACATGATCATAGTTTAAGTTACAATCTCCTTCCCTTTATAGTTACTAGGAACATTAAAAAAAGAAAAAGAAAACAGGGCTCAGAGTATCCTGTAGTCCTAGGAAAGACTAATATGCACTCCAAAAGATACCTGCCTTAGCTGGAAGGGTCCCATTTTGGGGATGGAGATCACTGTTTCCCAAAGCTACATCACTGAAGAACTGACTGTGCCTATCCGCAAGGAATGAGGGAGGGGCCCAAGCCAAGCATGGGGTGGGCAGTCTGGGACTACATTTACCACTGTGGCTTCCTCCAGTGGAGTCACTTGGTGCCAAGGGAGGTGGATGCGGCTTGTCCATCAGCATGCCAGAAGAGGGGGCTCCTCCCAAAGGGACAGAGGGGATGGAGTAGGGGCCTGGGACACCGGAGACAGAGGGAGGGTACCCGGCCTTGGCTGCTTTCCCTGCTTCATACACTGTGGAGGGAGATGAAGAGCAAGAGAGATTATGTAGTCCCACCCTCCACAACCCTCACACCCCAATCCCTGAGGTTCCATTCTTTGAAGGGAGCACCTAGACAAACATGAATTCATTCTTCCAAAACTGAACTAGTTCACTAGGACCATCAGAACCACTCTACCTTGGATTCCTCCGGCTCCATGGAAAGGGCAGCAATATGAGGAACTACGGTGTTTAGAATCCGGCAGCTGAGCAACCCTAGAGTGGATCTAATAGCTGCCATGGCAGCATCCCCACTTGGAACCACCCTGTCTACAAGCTACCATGGTCCGTCCAGAAGGGGCTAGCAAAGGGTCACTCAGGGATGCTTCCAGGAGAAGAAAAGCAAATGCTGTGTATGAACAAGGCCCCTGTCTGTGTTTTCAAAAGCAAAGCCAGTAACCCAGTTCCTTCTAACATTTTTATTCCTAAAGATTTTAAAGATAGAATGTTCCTCTCTCTTTCAATAATGTATTTAGTTTATGGTTGGGATGTCAAACTCAATGTATTCCTGGGCTTGACTAGTAAGCTAAATCTGTGAACCCCACAATGAGAACTGGTTCCTGTTGTGGCCATGTTCATCATATGAGTAAAGAAAACGGATGGGTGTCTGCCGGATGCTGCCCCAAAGTCACAGTTTTTACACTCCACTTATAAAAGGAGGACGTTCTCTGCATCAAAGGAGAAGGACCAGTGCAGGTTTTCTCTGTTTGAATGCTCTGAGGAGAGGGTGCAGCTTTACCCCACAACTTCACCATTCCGATCCTGCCCTTCCTTTAATCTACAGTGTCCATGAGCATTAGGAATGCATGGCAGGTGTGGATAAACAGCATGCAGATGTGCATGGAGCCGAGGAGGGAAACAGGAATGGTCTTCCCCGAACCCAGAGGTAAGGAGTAGAGGAGGAACTCAGGGCACGTGGCTGTCAGATGGAGAGGTGACATTTCTTCTGATCACTCTCCATCTCCCCCACGGATCCCTACTCACAGGCCTGAGGGCAGCAGCAGGTATCCGGGCAGCATGGGCAGCGGACATAGCAGCAGCAGCTGTGAGGGCAGCATTGGCACCAGCAGATCCCCACCAGCACGAAGAAGAGGAAGATCCCCAGGATCACCAGGCCGACAAACACCCACTCTGGAAGGATGCACAAAGAAATCTACTCGAGGTAGCCCTCCCTCCAGGGCACGGCATACACGGATGGGTGTCTCCCTGTAAAAGAGGTGAGTGGGAAGGACCTGGGCAAGAAAGGGTGTCTAACCAGGATGGAGGGGCCCCAGACTCATGAAGAACTCAGGGGGAGATATGCAAGGGCCCAGAGAAAAGAGAGCCAGGCGACCTGTATCTCTTGAGGTACACTGAGTAGCCAGCCCTGTGACTGGAGACTTTGGGGTTCCTGACTGGAGGAAAAGGTTCATCTACTGACTGTATCAGAAAAAAGTGGTGGGACAAAATCTGGGGGAGGGGAGTGTCTTGTGTGCTGGGCTTCTAACTCGGATTCTGTAAATGCTTATCTTTTATAATGAAGTATATTGTTTATAAGCTAAAAATTTTTGCCTTACATGGTGATCCATGCCTAAAGTTCCAGCACTCAGAAGGCTGAGACAGAAAGATCAAAGCAACTTGCACTACAACGTGAGACCTCAAACAAATAAACAACATCTGCAAATCTAAATCTTGAGGGGCAGGGAGGCTATGTGCCTTCATGGCGTACATAGATGGTCTTTATGTCGTCCAGGCTCAGTGCGTATTCATCTACTTTGCCGAGACACCTTCCCTGTGATTAGCACCAGGGCAGAGATCCAAAACTCTTACTTAAACTTCAATATCTATCCACAGTTAGTGAGAAAAAAAAGAGGCATAGTTTCAAATAGAGAAGACACAGCCCCATCTCCAAGGTAGGGGCTTGGTTTGATCACACTCAAGATGACCATGGCAGCCAGCATAGCCAAGAATTTAGTGGCTCAGGGTGCTGATGAATGGCAAGCTGAAATGAGCATGGCTAATGTGTTTGTCAGCTTCTATAATTTTCATAGCTCTGTCTGAGGCTGAACATGATTTTTCCTTAATTCGCTCATCCAAAAGATTTAAAAGGCAGCAAATTCTATCTGGTTTACATAAAAGTGACTTGTGACTCTCAGGTGACTTGTCTCAGTGTTATGCTATTGGGCTTGGGAAGAGTCCACCTTGTCCCTGGAGACCTGGACAGACTGGTATGACCCATGCTTTTCTTTAAAAGCTAAAAGACCAAAATGATTGAAAGCCGTCCACTCAAAATCCCTCTACAATGAGTTCAGTACACAATGTTTTTCTTTAAGTTTGGTTATTAACTACCCCTTCCATTAAACAAATTACTCATTTGGAAACCTGAGAACGTGACTTTTACATGGAAAGAGTTTTATGACAGTGGTTGAATCATTTGACCTTTGGTTGGAACCTCAGCTCCTCAGAGAGAAAACAAACAGCTCATGTTTTCTGAATGTCCCCCACTTATCCATCTGCACTACATTCAAGTCCAGGCCAACCTCTCTTCAACTAGGGACTGAGAAGCCTTGGTGTCTGGCTCGAACTCTGTGGGGGACACTCCTGCTGAGGGTAACAGATACCACGAGGCTTTAGACGGGGCCTTATAAGTAACATAACTTAAGGAGGTGGAGTTTTCTCGCTGAGGTGGTTTAGGTCAACTCTAGGGAAATAGAAGCCGTTAAAGATAAACGACCAGCAGGTTATATTTGAGAAACAAAGGAATTCTATCTGAGCCTGGTTGGCAGAGCATGACTCCAATCCCAGCACTTGGAAGACAGAAGAAAGGATCGCTATGAATGAAGGCTGGCCTGAGATGCACACCAAATACCAGAGGAGCCAAGTCTACAGTAGCAAGACCCCATCTCAGTAAATAAACAGGTAAATAAATAAATAAACCTGTGAAAGGGTTCCTGGAGTCAAAGGGAAGGAAACTGAGGTGAACAGGACTGGATATAAAATACAGAAACTCTTTCTTGGACTTGAGAGACACATTTTTACTTTGAAACATTATATGTGACATTTTTACCTGTGTAAATAAATGCTTACACATTGAGGGAACTTTTGCTAAAGGTGGTTACAATGAAAATGTCTCTCTGTGTTCTTGAGAGCCACATCAACAAAGAAAAAGTCTGAGGTAGGTCAGCCAGCTAAAGATAAAGGGCTGGATGAATTCATAGAAAACAATTAGCAAGGCTGGGTTTTGAAGACTCTGGACATTTCTTAAGATTTCAATCAAGCCAAAACCAATGGCCAGGGATATTTTATATCTCTCTGTTGCTATTAGAAAGACTTTAAAAGTCTGGCAAAAAATCAAGGCTAATTATACACTTTGCTATTCCTTCTATGGAGACAAACCTTTCTATAGGTCATTGTTTCATTCTCCTTGAGTCTCCCTCAACTACAAGCTACGGTGCAGCACTGGATTGGTCTGTATGGCTGGTACCTTCACCCGAAGCTACACGAAAGGATGTAGATATGTATTTGGGGCAAGTTATCTTGACATATGGTTTATGGATGCCTAGGGATTTCCAGTGTCTAAATATACAAGTAATACAGGTCTGTGAACACATGGTTTGGCAGGAAGAAGGAGGACATGTCTTTTCTAAGTTTAAAAAAAAAAAAAGATTTTTGGTAATGTTACAAAAGGTACTTCCGTTTAACATGATTGCACAATCGTGAGTGAGTAAAGCATATAATTTAGGAAATAAGGAATACAAATAAATAATACTTAAGGACACATAACTATCTGGGTACAGGTGAAATACTGAGATGGGCCTCAAGATAAGCAATGATGCTTTATGCCTGACACCGAGGGACTAGGTCCCTGTCTCCACTTAGTCTTAATTCCCATTATTCATTGAGGGCCTAGGAACAGAAGGCATACAAAAGGCTTATCCAAGGGGTTTAGTTCATCCTAGAAAAAGACAACAAACATTATACAGATAAATGTACCTCCCCCCAATCAAACAAGGAATTAGTGACTAATGCAGAAGCAGGCAGATGAAATGACAGCAAATAAGAGTTAAATGATTGAATACCTGGCATGATCTCCACAGCAAAACTGGGCAAGAGATCAGCAAGCAGCCCTGTCCTGCCTAGAAGACGTAGAAGGAAAAGAAGAAGGAAAGAGGTTACTCCAAAGAAAATGCAGCCCAATTTCTGGCACCCACCAGTGCCAGGACTTTGTAGGGCCGTTGCTCTGTATGCTCTGTGGTAGGAGAGATGCATCGGGGCCGGGCTCAGTCAAAGGCAATAACTATAAGCAAGCATTTCTGGCAGCCATCCAAAGGAAGGCTAGGTGGAAGCAGAAAAGGAACCTTATCTCTGACTGTTTATAGGAAGAGGACATCTCTGCCTCCATGTGAGAAACCCTGCTTGAGCAGACTGACATACACCATCTTCATCTCCGTGCATTCACACAGCCTTCTCCACACACTTCAGTGGAAAGTCAAACCCATCTGTATCTAAACATTCCATCTACATTTTCATACAATCCATACACAGTCCCATGTCCACATAAAAACAAAAGTACATATTTGGTTTTAACTTAGAATTAACTAGCTACACGGTTCTATTTATGGCTTAAAGATATTTCAATGATTAAAATGTTCAAAAGCAATGAAGAGATAACGCTAGACTGGTTACACACTCCTCTACACTCCTTCTGGCTTCAGAAATACTCTGTACATATGTATATGGTATGGGTTTTCCATATGGCACCCACAGCTGGCGGTGTATGTACTCAAGAGCCTTCTGTGTGATATTGCCTAGAAGCTTCAAAGCTGGTGTCAAAGCAGGTGCTTCTCGGGGGCTCTGGGAAGCAAAGAGCTGCACAGGAAATAAGATGCTAGAAGATGTGAAGGAGGAGATTATCTTGCCTTATAGAAGCTACCCTGCATGTTTTCACATTAGCAAACTTCCTTTGTCTCTGACTTGTGATGATAAAAAGGTTACTGTGATACATCTAAGGCATACAACTGAATCCTCCTTCATTTTGGTGCATGGCAAGCATCTCCAGAATAGCACTGTTCAATGACAGTACAACACCAACAACATGGGTGATTTTAGCTTTTCTGGCAATGACATTAAGAACATACAAACAAACAGAAACAATTAACCTAATATCATTTTTTTTCTCACTTACACCAGTATCCACAACACATTGTCATTTCAAGGGCTCGGTCACCACATGTTGCTGTTGAACATCATACTTCTAAGGGTCTTCAGGGTTGTAGCTTATACCCGAGATGACTTTCCATTATGAATCTAATTAATGTCTTGGACCACAACATACCTAGAGATGTTTAAAACATTGGCAGCCTTGAATTCTGAGTGGTAAGTACAAATGAATCTTCTCATTTAACTAGATGCAACAATAAGTATATTTACAAGTACCATTAATCCAGATTGAACACACACACACACACACACACACACACACACACACACACACACACAATGCACACTATACATTTCCATCCATCCATCCATCCATCCATCCATCCATCCATCCATCCATCCATCCATCCACAGAACTATTTCCATATAAAAAAGAAACTCGCGCACATGGATTTTGCTCATTGAGAAACAACTGTATTGCTTCCTGGCCTTTTGGCTAAGATCCAGTGTAGGAAACAAAATGTGTGGTTTACATTTTGAGTCTAGAAGTCATCGGCTCCTTGTTCTACAAGGAGGTCCATGAAAAAGCAGTTCTGACAGTGGTCAAAGCGGGAAAGGCACCTCTGGGTCACTGGGGGAGGATCCAGCAACTGGGGAAGACAGCAGTGAGTAGGGGAAAAGCATCTTTGCTTGCCCTGTTCCTCTGACTCTCCACAATAGCAGGAGGGTATCATGGTCACACGCACCCTGGTCAAGCCTCCTGGAAGGGAGACGGGTCCACATTTGGAAAGCTACATGTGTACTCCAAAAGACTACTCTCATTGGCTGATGCTTTAGGCCAGCTCAGCTGCGGCAAGCCCTGACAAGAAGGGCTATCCCCTTGCACCCCCATCTTTGCACAACTGGCGTGGGAAGACGGCCCTGAGGCTTGCAAGGTCCCTTAGAAGGAGAGCCAAGCAGGCATTAAGAGAGGTGTCCCGAAAGAGACTTCTCATGCTAGACTTTGGCCCCTGCCTTCACGAAACACTAAGAAGTGCTCTTCAATGCTTACACAACTCCCCAGGTGAGAGATGAGATGGAGTCTGGGACCAAAATCTGAGCACGTGATTCAAAGCACACACTGATCTCATCCGGAATGTTCTCTAAAAATATGCCTTGGAAACTCAACAAGGGAATAAACAGATGGTCAAGGATTTAAGAAATTTGGATCTTAGACATCTCTTTCACACATACTTAGTATTCATTACCATATAATAGGCAATTATCAAGGGAGAAATAGACAAGGTTTGTTAACAAAACAGTTGTCAGATGCTTAATGGTAGACTTTTGTTGTGTTTCCCTCCTGCAGACAATTGGTGTGTGTGTGTGTGTGTGTGTGTGTGTGTGTGTGTGTGTGTGTGTGATTTTTAGTTAAACGAGGAACTGTGCTTATGTTCATTCTGCAGACCTCCTGTCTACCAGTGTTTAAAACATCTCCAGGTGTGCTGTGGGCCACATGACTAATTAGAATCATAACATAAATTTACTCTTTACATAAGCTACCAATTTGTAGGCTGTCTCGTGATTTTAATTCTATGATTTATAGATGATAGATAGGCGTGTCTACATATATATGTGCATATAAATTTTAATTATTTATTTATTCATACATTCATTTTGTGTTCCTTGAGACAGAGTCCTGCTATATAGTCCAGCCTAGCATGCAATTCACAATCCTCCTGCCTCTGCCTTTTGAGTGATTAGATTACAACTGTGTGTCACCATATCTGGCTATGATAGCTATTAACTATAAGACATCCATATAGCCAAAGAGGATTTGGTTTTCATACTTATTCCACTTGTTATATCAGGAAAACACTGGGATACGAGTCAAAGTTGCCCGGGATGCTTTGCCATTGATTTACTTGGTAACTCCTTCAGGCAAATCCCTCCCTTTCCTGGTCTCAGTTTTCTCATAGTAGATGGAAGGACTGGGATGGAAGGGTGTATGCATATCTTGATTTTTTTGTTCTGAAAGAGTCCTGATTTATGCCCATGGCCTTGATGTAATTATTAACAGGCACTGATTTTTGTTTGAAAATATCATCATTTGGACAATTAATGATATATATGGTCACCATATTTAGTTCTCAAATCTGAATCTCAGTGAATGGGATTCAAACCCAGATGTGCATAGGAACAAGCTGGTGATGCAAGTGAGCACAGCTGGCTATGAGTGAGACAACTGAGAACATGGAGGGGGTGACAAACTGCAGTGTCCTTAGGGGGCCACTACTGTTCCACTCTAGCCAACAGTTGCCCAGTGGAATGTAGTAGGTGATCCTCTACTCACGTTCACCCCAGATTTGATGGTGAAATATTCTGATTTTAAAACATTAAGCAAATTAATTCGTATATTTTTAAAATAGTGGATAAGCCAAACAAAATATGTCTGTGGTCTGTACAGAACCCTGGGATCATGAGTTTGCAACCTCCAAAGCTACATACACACAGAAAGAGGGGGGGGGGGAAGGGAGGGAGAGAGGGAGGGAGGCAGAGAGAGAGAGAGAGAGCTGGATTTCCCCATAGGCTGTTTGGGTTACCCTGACAGTGTCCTAACATTGCTTTCACATGCAGAATGACAGTTCTGGTTAACCAGCGTTCAAATTAAGATTTCAAAACAACAGTACTACACACTGCTTCCTTGCCTTTCTTCCTTCTGGGGAACCAGAATGGGCACCATATGAGAACATCGGAGAGACCTTTACTCTGCACTCCAACCTGTCTCATTTTTTGTAACTGAAAACTATGAGCTAAAGAGGGAATGCATCAGAAATGCACATAGAAGATTCACAAACTTTGACACTCCAACAGGGAGGTCTACATCAAGTTTCTCATTTTCCCTGAAGCAACAGTCAATAGCTGAAGCTTCCAGAGGTAAAGGCTTCCCATAATGCACTTGAGTAGAGTTAGCCCCAGGGAGGCATGAGTGAGAGAGTCTTGCAGTGAAGTGAGCGAAATTAAATGTCTTTAGGATTCAAGACATAGCGAGAGTTTGGGGGCAGCAGACAACACCACTATATCAACAGCACAGGGGTACAGAGCTCTCTGGCTTTTGCACCGCGACTCTGATTTTATTGGAGCGAAAAGCATTTTAAAAATTGAATTTATGCTGGAATCTTTATATTTCTGAAAACCATTTTGCTTCCAGCTCCTTCCCTAACAATTCCTAAGACATGTTACTCCTGTCAGTTAGAAACGCGCTATCGTTTCTTCTATTCTATCGCATCCAGCGAAGGTCTGCTCTTGAGAGTGTGGAAACAAGAGCGGTAAATACACCCTGGGTCTCAGCAGCGCTTCACCATGCCTGCGAATCACTGTTATTCTCCCAGGATTCAGCTTAAGAGAGGTAATTACAAGTCACTTTAATGTCTGAGGGAAAGATGGGAAGCAGACCCTGTGGATAGAAGGCCATATTTACTCTTTTCAAATCAAAGCTCAAGCGATCAGTAGAAAATATGGTTTTCATGTAAGCACTCAGTTTTCTGCAAGGCTTGCAAAATCCACTCCTTCAAGGAAATTTCCACATGAATAAGCCAAATGCATCAAGCACACCAAAAGCTTGTGCATGCACACACACAAGCACCAGTTTCGTAGCATGCTGGCCTACACTCCACAGCCACACGTGGTCCTTGGGTTGAACGCTCAGAGTAGAAACAAGCACTGTGAATGCACGATTTGCATATCTTACCTCCTAATTGTCAAATCCAGCTGTTCCCTCACATCGCCACTTTCAAGTATCCCCAGTTGAGCTTTTTGCACATATTCCTGGAAAACCAGCTCTCTTCCAAATGTCCCCAGCTCACTCATTCATTCATTCACTCAAACAAAGATGTGCATATTTTGTCAGGTGGAGACGGAAGCGGCAACAGAGCAGAGTCGCTTGTGTGGCTCATTTTTAGCCACACCTGTGAAGCTCGAACACCAACATAAGAACTCCAATTTAGTCACTTGTTTCTTTGTCGTAAGACTTACTAATCTCAAAGGGCCTTCTTCCTGCTATGTCTGTTTTTGCCAGCCTCCTTGGACTGTGTGTATGCCTGGTGTGCATATATATATGTATATATACATATATATGTATATGTATGTATATATATATATATATATATATATACACACACACACACATGTTCAGATGTGCCTGGGCACATGTGTGTGTGCAGGTATCTGTGCATGTGTGCACACACACATGCAGGCCAGAGGGTGACATCGGGTGTCTTATTGAATTGCTCTCTACCCTATTTTTTTGAGGCAGGGTTTCTCCCTTGAGCCTAGAGCTCACTGATTTGGCTCACCTAGCCAGAGAGGTTCCTCTGGTGTCCTCTATCTCTGCCTTCTATGTGCTGGGACTATAGAAGTCTGTTCAGCTGGCATTTACAGAGATTTTATGTCCTCATGCTTGCTCAGCAAGTGTTTTGACCTGGTGGCCATCTCCTTTGTGCTTTGGACATCAGGATCCATCTGGTCAGGGGGCTTTAGCCAGAGACAGTCCTTGCCACACTTTCTACGTCTCTGTTTCATAGCTTTGTCTTTGTACATTTCATAGTTCACTTCCTAGTGGCATTTCTCCCAGGGTGCTAATTTCTTTTCTTGGTAGCCAGGGCCCTCGAGCTAGAAGTTCATTGCTTTCCTTAGGAAAACAAGTGTTGGAACTGCCTTGGTCAAGCACTTATTGCTCAGTCTACAGGACTCCAAAATATGTTCTGACAGAGCCCTGGATGGTTGCTACAATAAGATGCTTCCTCTGCCAAGCTCCCCAGGAACACTGCACACACCTTCAGCAGAACATTGATCTCTCAGCACTGATTCCTTAACAAGTGCCTCCGTTTGCAGGCTGGAAACCCCTTTAGAACAAAGACTACGCCCTAAGCTTAGCATCTCAGCATCCGGTACCAGGACCCCCTCCACCATCCATCCATTGGATCCTTTGAGGCTTTCCAATAGCAAATCCCCACAGTTTGGTAGGCTGGGTTTCTAGCTAGGCTTCTGATATGTTGCTCAATATAGTACCTTCTACCCAGTCCAGGAGGCTCTTAATAGGAAGTATGAAGGAAGTGTTCAGTTGCCAAAGCATCCACGCAGCACTTTTCAATGTACAGCAAACCAAGAATGTACTCCAACCAGCAGAACGTCTTGCCATCTAAGAGTCGGGAAGCACCATCCCACTCCACACCAGTGAAAATAAAGCAAGCTAGTGTATTTCGAAGAGCTCATTATAGAGATGTAATCTGAATATAAATTTTACCCCAAAAGATCGCTCTTGTCCATGCCCTTCATACTTCCATTCAAGTTCTGATAGTCCAAGCCTTCCAAGTGTAAAGGAAGGCGAAGTTCTAGATTTCCTACAAACTTGTTTTCAGAAACTAAATCTGGCTCCTTGGCACACAATGGGCAAAGACAGGGTGTTGGGAAACTCGTGGAAGGGAGGGAAAACAGCACTTCTTCCAGCCTTATGATGCCCAGAGCACAGTGACCTCTATCCATTTCTTTGAGTAAAATCACTAGAGATGCTCTCAGGTGTGCCAACATACTCTGTGAGTGAACTTTCTCGTTAGGATGACAGCAAATGCCTTTCCAGTTCCGTGCAATTCCCTGCTCCCCCTTGTGTTTAGTGCACATCTCGGCTTCATCTGCTCCAAGCTTTCCTTAGATGCCCTGGATCCGTCTTCAGGGCTGTACTGTACCCACCCTCTGCGCGCTCTGCTCCAAATCCTCCAAAACGTTCCCTTCCTACATCTCTGAGGACAGCACAGATGCTTTCCTCTGGACCTTGTATGTATGTGTAAAGATGTTTCTATGGCTATGCTTTAAGGGTTGTTTCTATGGCTATTTAAAATGCCAAATATATTGGAAATTTCCCAGGGGCACACACATGCCTGCTTTTATTCTATATTCCCATGGCAACCATGCTTCCAATAAATATAGTTTATGACTATCTGTCACAGTGTGGATAGAGCCTCCCTTTCCTTTACATATATTTATAAACTGTGTATTTAAGCATTTCGTGTGTTTATCTTTTCTTTTTGTGTCTTTTATATTTTAGTTCACTTTAAATTACAGACTTAGAGGAGAATAATTCTGACAGTGAATTCTCTCTGTAAAATGATTACTATTGGATCATTTGCAATTAAGTGGTAATAAATGCTTCCAGATTTTTGGCAGTGGATTGTAAGCTTGGTCAAAGGCATTGACTTCTTCTATTTACACATTTTAAGTCATATTTTATTGCTAAAAATGGACCACAGAGGTTAGTCCATACCACAGCCCCCACCTGGTGTTTTCAAAAAAAACCAGAGAGGTTAAGAATCTGAAAGAAAGTCGTATAGCTGCCTAAAACTCAAGCCAGGAATAGGACTACTTACTCCACCTGTGCCTTTTGCTCTCATGATGTCACTGAGTACCAGTCTTGGCTTATCCTTGTTGTAGGGATATATAGGAAGCTCTTCTTTGTCTCCTGGCATTTGGACTGAATGGCTGCAGTCAGTTAGTGCATCTGGAATTCCTCTACTTATATAACGAAAGTATAATTTTTTGGATGTAGAAAATGTTGGAGATGGTTGAAACTCTGGGCACCTCTTACAGCGGCAACTAGAAAATGATTACTGGATACATCATAACACAGTGTGATCTAATTAAAAGGCATTCACCGCTGCTGCAAACTAATAAACAACAATAAAAATGATTGCAAAGGTACTTAGGCTGTGCAAAGTGCTGCAGTGATCCCACTTCCCACCCTGTGAGAGTGAATGGATGGAAAATACCATTAGTAATACAGCATGCTTGACTTGGTCTGAGGTGAAATGCGAAAGAGAACCAGACTGACTTAAAATTGATGAGGAAGGGGCGATGCCACTGAAGGGGGAAATTGAGTTTTAGAGGACCAGTGTGATTTCTTGCACTTATTTGTGCTGGAAACAGACTAGCACAAAGACATCCCTCCACCCCCCCCCTCCACCCCCCGAGACTACATCCAATATTCAGGGACCACTACTTTCTTTAGCGGGAGGCGGGGGGGGGGAGTTGGGGGGAGGGCGGGAGACGCCCCGAGGTCACAGCAAGCCAACAGGGTACACAGAGAGGTCATGCAAGGCCAGAGTCCCTGCTCTTTCCTTGGTGGCCAGCCCTCTCAGTGTAAGGGGCTTCCATCATGGACCCTTTCCCAGAGCCCTCTCTGGGAAGCCAATTCAACAAAATCCGAGGCACAGTTCTCCGCTGAACCAAACCTGCACGCTTGAATAGCGGCAGCTGGCTTTGAAGAAAATGGAACTGTCTCCTGACCGGCTTTGAGGGGCTGCCATTCTTTCCTCCCCGGGCTGAGCCGATTTCCCAGTACCACCCACTCCAGCGCGGGGCCCCGCATCTCCGCCCCCGCGCTGGCGGGCGCTGGCTCTGCAGACCACAAAGCGAGCTGAGCGCGCGGGTTGACCCAGCTGCTCCCGCGCCACCCGGGGTAACCACGGCAACCGCGGTGGTCAGGAATGCACGCTAATTGAAGGCCCCGTTCCTCCCACAGGGATGAGCAAAAAGTGAGGCAAAAAATAGTGAGCTGGGCTGCGTGTGAGGAGGGAGGGGAGGCGGGGCTCAGCTCCAGCCTTGGCCCTGGTGGATGAGGGACCGGGGACCGTGAAGAGCGCCTGCCAGGCCTCATTTGTTTTCTTAAATGACGCAGGGCAGTGAAAAGCTGTGACAGGTCAGAAATCTTAGGATATATTTTCCAACCAACTACCACACCGTGAAGGCACCATGCTTTTTTTCGCTGGGCCGCAATGCTTGATTTATGGAAATGAAGGGAGATGTAACATCCCTAAGTCCTCATAAATGAAATGCCAGCAAGCTGTAAGGGCTGGGCTGGCCAAAGGGAGCGGGACAGAATTCTGTTTTGTTCAGATCACAGGAGGCTCTTGAGATGGACGACCACCATTAACCAGTTCTGGAAAATGCCCGTGTTTGAGCCTGGACCTGCCATAAATGACTCCTGGCGTTCCCCCTCACCTTACACTCTTAAGTGTATCCTCGTGTAGATTATAAATTTTGTCACTGCCTTCCCAGGCCCAGTCAGATAGCTCCTAATCCAAGTCATGGGTCTCCTCCAAATGCCACTAGACATCACTGAATAAGCTCTACAATTGAGTCCTTGTAGTTAGCTAAAAGCCAGCCTCTCAGAAAATGGGGGTGGGGGTTGGGAGAGGCTTCCAAATAGCATCCAAAATGAGGCAACCCAAAGACAAAATGGGTGTTGGGCCAATGGGGCTCAGGTGTTATTGAGAAAATATGAGTCTGCTCCTAATGGGTCAGTTCACAAGGGGCCCGTTAAATCCCTTAGTGCCCATGGACTGTGTTCAGCAGGAGCCCCCGACATAGATGCCCCTAAAGAGGGCTCCCTTGGATTAGGGATGGTGGGACATGTAGAGGATGGCAGGGTGGGAGGAGAAACTAACATCTGAGTTTTTAGTCACAACAATAGGTCTTGGGGGTAACTTTTATGACCCCTCTCCTACTTCCACAAATGGGGAAACTGAGTTCATATCAGCACACCAGAGCTGTCTGGCCCCCAAGCCTCTGCTCTTCACATTGGACCATGTCCCGTATCCAAAGAGAAATTTACTCACCACCACTGGCGCTTTTCAGTGTGAGTGACTTGGCCTGTATTAGGGAGGTTCCAAAGCTTCCCCAGGCTGGACTCACCGGGTTCATAACTCCCGGTGAGTGTGGCGAGTAAAACCAGACAGTCAAAGGTCCCCAGAGGGCAAATCACCCCTCTGCTGTGAGTCAGCGGCCTAGATGCTTACTATCCAAGCACAGCTTTAAGGTTTTCTTATGCTGTTCTTCCATCACAGCCAAACTGTAACTTTTACCTTCACAAAAGACACAGAATTTTAATAGGGACAAGATGGCTATTTATGTATTTTGTATCTTCCTGGTGTGGGGTCCCAATACAACTAAAAATACTCATTACATTTTTAGCCTCATTTAAACAGAAGTCATAATTGAAGCAATACTGATCTGCTCTGTGGTGTCTATCAATGAGCAAGACTGGAGTTATGCAATGAATTCTTGAAGCCAAGAGAAGTCCTTTCAGAGCGTGGAAGGCTTGGCCCCACATCTCTGAAGGAACCATATCTCTTCTCCCAGCTACAGTCACTAAGGGGAGGCAGGACTCCTCCTGATGCCTGAGGAACTCCTCTGGCCCTTCTCTCTCCTCTATCCTTTCAACACATTTTCTCATTTCTTATAAAAACAAGAACAACCGAGCTGTCTAAGTAAGTTTAGGGCAGAGCCAGCCAGAGCTAGGCCAAAGAGGTTGGAGGAGAGAGATCAAGGCATTGCCTAGAAAAACCCAGTCCTCAGTTTCTGTCCCTCTGTTCATGGGAGTCTGTGGGGTTGTCTCAGCCCCCCTGGAATCCTGAAGGTGCAGGTGTGTGCTGAAGTAGGATGTTCCCATATTTGCTAGGGGTGAGTCCAAAACACCGAAACATGATCAAATCTACAAATGAAATGTGGGCACGCCCAGACCCTAAGATGTTCCAAAGGTTCTCTCCAGACTTATGGCCAGAGTGTGGCTCTCTCTGTAATTCATTTTTTTTTTCTCTTCCCTCTGCCAGGAGTAAACTTTCTTCTTCTCCAATTCTTTTGCCCTTCTTCCTCTGTTTGTAAATCTTCCAGAGAGAAACAGCCGCAGCCACTCTCTGAGATCAAAGTTTTAGCAAGCAACAAAGACCTCCAAGGAGGCTGTTGCCATGGGAACTCTGGGAGCTGAGGCCCTTCTAATAGGCAAATCTCCTTGGTTAGCAGCACCAGGCTGTGGCTGGCAAAGAGGGAGAGGAGGGGGAGGGGGAGTCTTGGCAACAAGTAGCCTTTCTGAACAGCCTGAACTAAAATCACTGGGATGTGGGACAGGGTCCAAACTGAAACTGCAGGAATGCAGGGGTGGGTGCTAGGACATTCCTTCACAATCTTAGGAAATACTTCCATTAAATATCCCTAGAGTCACCTCGTGGGAGATGTCCCCCGCCCCGAAAAATTTCATTGATTACTTATTCAGTTCGTAATGGCTTTTTAAAATACCAGTGAACAGAACAGAGACGTTTATTTATACCAGACATAGGACTGTGAATAGCTTGAATTAAAAAAAAAAATAATCCATGCCCGCCCATTCCTCCACTTGTCTAGGTAATAGATGCTGTACTCTTGGGTAAGTCACAGGAGGAGATGGGAGAAATAATAGGAACATGACAAGAAAACAAAGGTAATTCTGCAGCATTGTATTTATCGGGGGGAAAAATCAATCCCAAATTAGTGCTTACTCACAAGGACCTGCTGAGAGCACACCTATTTCTGGCCTCCTCAGTTAGCACTACATTTGGCCCATAAAGAAGCAGAAACTGATGATGAATTCCACAAAATGTTAACAGTGTGTGTTTTTGCCTGCCTGGCATTCCTTTCGTCTTCATTTGGAAACAACTGCCTGGTTTCCTTTAGGAAACTGCTTCCCTTTCCCTCTGCAGCCCCAAATGGGGGTTGACTGTATCCCTTCAACAACAGGGCTTTTGCAGGAAGTCTGCAGAGAGACGAGCTCTATCCTCCCGAGGTAGACGGAGGCAGGGGCCTGTCCAGGTCCTCTTTGCTTCATGTGAAGAGAGCCTGCCTGAAAATGATGCTGAGGACGGAGCAGAGCAGGAGGTGGAGGCAAGGAAAGACCAGCTCTTTGGCCCACTGATCCGCCACCAGGACTCATTGATCGAAGCTGGGAATACCCCTGGGGTTTGCTTGGTACCTAAGACAAAAAGACGCACCTAAGTTCATTGGAGCCTCCATCCTTTGCAATCAAAATACTTGTGGAAAACATGACAGCTCAAAAGAGTGGGCTTTTCAGGGATAATTTCTCTTTCTGTACTTTACTGTTTGGCTTAAAGTATGATCAATAAGCATGACCATTTTTTTCCCTGAGACAGAAACAGTATTAAAAACAAAGCATTGAATGGTATTGGAGGAATTGTCTTCTATGGAGAATTAATTTTGAAATCTGGGGTCTTTGAAATGGAGTAGAAAAAAAAAATCATTGAAAGGTCTCTGGAATGCCATTTTGTTTATCCTTGTATCTAGGCAACCTGGATTAAACTTGTTCTATGTGTTAAAGCTCATCAGAGAAGGAGTTTCTGTGATTTCTCCAAACCATCCATAATTTCATTATAATAATTTGAAAAGCCTGTTATTTACCATTAGGAATGTCTCCCTTAGCTTGAACCTAAGCACCCTCTGGCTCATGACCTCTTATTCTAATGCCAGGCTAGAGGCAGGAGTGTTCGCTCAGCCTCATTTCCACAGAGGCTCTGTCCCCCTTTTAAAATTAAAGGCCTTTAAACAACAAGCCTCCCCCAGGGACATCAGAAAGAAAAGGTCAGGCCCTTAGACTGTCCATAGAAAGAAGTAAGAACAAGGTGAGCTGCTTTTAGATTTTAAAATAAAAACTTCCCTGCATGAGCCTTCCTGAAATGGTGAAGTCTTTTTCCTGCCAGCTGGAGCTGCCCCAGGGAACTTCATTCCTAACCAAACAGTGGCACGGTTCCAGGTTATAAACAGCCAATCCTTGCCACCGATCCCAGACCAATGTCTAACCTCAGGTGGATTATTTCTGGACACCCCCAAGTTCAGTGACCGTCTGCTGGTGCAGCCCTACCATCATCCACCCTGTCTAAATATTTCTCAGGTATCTGTCTCTGTCATCTCAAAGCACCAAAACACTGTGTGCTTTTCCAACTTCAGAAAGACTTTACCCTCTGAATCATCAAAAAGACAGCAAAGGGTGTTTGGGATGGTTTTCCTGTTTAATGTCGAAGCAGTGGTTGTCCTCCGGTTGCCATGAATCACACATCTTCGGGTATTTCTGAAACCGCTAAATGAAGCATCCACAGCCACTGAGGGAGGGAGGTTCAGGTGTATGGGGTGGGAAGAGGGTGAGTCATGCTCTGCAGGGAGGTATTCAATGGAGACCAGAGCAACTGTGCCTTTGAAGTGAAGGCCTAGGTCAATGGTTATACAGAGTTTAAGGAAGAAATGTAGAGAATCAAGGAAACAAGCCCAGGGCAAGTAGAAATCATGACCTACACCCCCCTAGCAGCAACCACAGTTTTTAATACATAGCTTAATCCATAGTGTCTCAGCACACATAGGATTTGTGGTACTGTGAAAGCAGATAAAGTCAGAGATCAAAACAATGGGTCTAATCATCAACACTTTCTAAAAACTAGTGTGCAATCATAAAAGCAGGGCATTGATTTTCTTTAATTTGGAAAATGAAGGGAATAATTTCTGCTCTCCTACCCCATACAAGTATTACAGGAAAGCATTGTGAGTTAATTTCAGTGTATAGTAACATTAGTGGTGGTCACAATGCTGCCATCACTTTGGCTGATACCTACTTGGCCAGGGGGAGGTGAGGCCGGAGGAGGTATTCCTGTATTCCTTCTCTTTATATTGGGGCACTACCCCCAGGAGGCTCTGATCTCCCGTGCAGTGGACAACTGACCTAATGGGCCGTTTGTGCTTTCTCTCTTAAGGCTAATGTTTTTTTGTTGGGAAAATACAAGAATGGAAAATAACATTTAAGTTGTTTGCTTGGTTTTCCTTTTTCTCTACCAAGGGAGCCCTAAAGATATTTTTCAACAATTCCTGCAGCATAAACCCAGGAGCCCTGGAGCATCTCTGACAGTGCTGAGAATAAGTGCTATGTTAACCGCTGTTACTTTTCTCTGGGGTGTTTACAAAATGAGTAAAGAAGTGCTCCATGTCACTACCAGATCTAGATCCTAAAAAGCCCTAGATGACCATTCATCCATTCTCACTTTCACCCCCTATCCCCACTCCTCCTTTAGCTGGGAACGAAAGTCTCCAACACAGCAGAGCTAAACAAAAGAGAAGCCTAGAACCACGTGCCACCACTTGGACAGGAACTGTTCATCTGACTACAGCAAATGTGGAAATAAACTTTTGGGCAGAAAAGTCACTGATGTTTGTATAAAAGCTAATAAATTCTTTCCCAAAAAGGTATATTCTTTAGCTCTCTTTTCAATTTTGATATCTTCCAATGCATTTTTTTTTTTTTTGCTTCAGTTCACCAGAACCAGTACTTTGAACCATAGTTTCTGATGGATCCATCACTAATAATTACTTAAATACCTAGATGAAGACTGTGACCAATGAAGTCAAAGCATCTCATCTCACTTGTAGATGTCTATTGTGTCAAGTCAACAAAGACACATGCAGTATTCAGTAACATTTAAGAGGCACAAAGTAAGAACCATCTATAGCTCCTGCCCTTTGTCATTTTTAAAGTGTCTTTAGGGTAGAGCCCTCCTTGATATAAACATGGAGAGATACTGGTCCTTGGCTCTGCAGAGCCCCTCATTCAGTGTTACTAAGGAACTCTCAGTTTTGTGAGGAATCGAAGACAAGTACACATACAGTATCGGTGTTACCGCTCTCACTAGGTAAAACCAGCACATACCACCAAGGGCTCTATTCTTGGCCTTGTTCATTTTACAGCAGTGTCTAGGGTGATTCATCTACTCTCACATGGCTCTGCCTGTCTGTTGGTCATGATTCTTAAACCCACTGTCCCCTGTCTTCTCTTTCCTCTGATTTCCAGACTTACATTTGCAATTGTCAGCGAGCAATTTACCATGGACAATTTTGGGTAACACTACTTACGTTACTTACTCAAAGAAACTGGATTCAATCTATGAAAAATATCCTAATGAAACATAGACCCTAGAGCTCTGTTGGTGTCCCACAGGAGTCAGTGACCTGTGGTGACAATGGTCACTGGTGACCATTGTCATTCGAGCCTTCCTTAAATTCTATATGTCCAAAACTAAACTCGTCCCTCTGCTTCTATACCTGCGTGCCCACCATGTACTCTTAGTTAAAGGGATGGCTGGTTACCCACCTAGTTAGAAATCCTTGTATCCTGTTTGGCTTATCTCTCTCACGGCCTTCTATACAGCCCCAAGATCGATTGCTTTGATCTCAGAACTGTTGTTAGGGTGTCTCCATTTCCTGTTCTGGTTCAGAATCTCATACCTTTCATCTGTGCTTCGGCGGATTCCATTTCCAACCCCTGCTCTGCTCTCCTGCCACTCATGAACCACCTGCCAGGCATACAGAGTAGGTTCCAATGCCTCGTGTACAAAACTTCATTCCAAATATTTGAAAACAAGTCCTTGGGTCTTCAAGTGCTTTTTTTACTAGAAGGAACCCACTAGCCATTCCTCACAGAAAATTCAATAACCATTAGTTCATGTTGTTGTAATTAGCAAACTGTGAACCCCAGAAATCTTTCCAGGCGACTCTATTCTTTAACAGAGAACCGAGAAATCAGGTTGCTTTCCTGGTCTCACAGAAAAAAAAAGACCGTCAAACAAAGTGGCTTGCAGAATATAACAACCAAACAACTAATTTTTTTAAACGTGACAGTATTTTGAAAATTTTTATGAAGGGCTGTCAAAGATAAAGACTCAGGATTTTGCATTTAGTACTTTGAAGCACTCAAAAAATTTCATAGATTGAAACCAATTCCTTTAAATAATTAACATAAGTAATATTGCCCAAAATTGTCCGTGGCAAAACTATCGCAGTTTGGACATTTCTAATTAGTGTGGAGCGGAACAGAGCAGCATGTGTCCCTCGGGCGCATCGGAGTAGAAGCCCTGATTGTAGGCAGAGCCCTGATGACATTGTTCCTCGTTTTCATTCAGGGTTCTCCTCAGGGCAGTCCTAATTTCTGCTCCCCATCTCTCCTCCCATCACTGGTGACCACTGTCGTCCAAGCCTCCCTTTCACTCACCATCTGCTGACCCCTTTTGGCCCCAAGATCGGCATCCTCACCCCACAGTTAGCTTGGATTTAATCCAGAGGGATGTCCACCGTGTATTTGAGCTCATCCTCACATGGTACAACTTTCCCTCCATCCATTTCCCCCAACATCTGCTGAAGCGGAACCAAATTATCTCGAGTGGTTTTTTTACCTGGCCTCCTTTTCCTACACACACAATTGCTTCTCCACAGATGGCTGCCTCAGTCAAATCGCTGTGCTCACAATTATCTAACTGCGGGCTCAAACTAACTTCTTGTTCCTACAAACTCGGCTGTTAGAGTCCTGAGATTAGGCAACAATGTATCTCTTAGATCCTGTCTGATGTAAAAAACCACTGCAGGTCTCAAGTCTTACCTCGCAGTGTTCTTGACATAATAAGTCTTTCACTCTAATTTCCATTTTCCTACAAGCCACAGCAGTTATAGTTTATAAGTTGGCCCTAAGGATTATGTTTAAGTCAACCTTCTAACAAGGAAGACCAGTATTACCTCAGTTCAGTTTGTAAAATGTAAGACTGAGACATGAGAGCAATTGCTTTGTCCAAGTCATGACAAACAACTAACAATTCTAAATAGAAAATGCTACCTTATCCTTGGGTATTGAGTTTCTCACAGTGAGTGGGTAAAAATCAGTTTTAAATTTTATTTCCCTTTCAAACAAGGAATCCTTGCATGTTCCCACAAATTAGTGTCAGCTAACTTTTAGAGGCTACAAGAAAAACAAACAAACAAATAAAAACGCAATGTCTTCTGAATCATGGCTTAAAGGGTACATCATCAATGATTTTTTCCCCCTAAAAAAAACCTATGTCCCCCTTGATATAGGTTTTTTTCTTGTTTTCTGTGTTGGTTTAATCTCAACTTTCATGTCTGTTTGTTTGTTTGATCTAACCAACATTTATAAAACACAAAATAGGGGCTGGAGAGATGGCTCAGAGGTTAAGAGCACCGACTGCTCTCCCAGAGGTCATGAGTTCAATTCCCAGCAACCACATGGTGGCTCATAACCATCTGTAATGAGATCTGGTGCCCTCTTCTGTATACATAATAAATAAATAAATCTTTAAAAAAAATAAAACACAAAATATGTACTCAGTTTTCAAGGAGACCATTTCCCACTAACATTTTCCTCCAATTCACAAGAGGAGAAGTAGCCAGAGTAAGGAGTTTCCAGTTATGAAGCAGTTAATATTAATAAGGTGTATTTGCTTGAAAATAACTCAGATGCTTCCCCCTCCAGTTAAACTAGCGCAGGTCTAAATAGCTCTTCTTATGGGATGCATTTTATTACTAGACTCTCCCGTTTACAGCCATCTTGCCTCCTAATTATCTTAAGTAGAGACAACTGAGTGTGAAAAGACTCCCGGGGTCTTCAGATGTGCTTGCACACCAGTGGGTTCTGATCTCTCTTTAGGCTGTACCATACTTCAAAGGCCTCTGGCATTTTCTTGAACAATTAATTGCCACATAAGAAAGACAAGAAAAGGATAAGGGGAAAGAAGGTTAAAGATGAAAGTAGGAAAGAAAGGGGCGTTGAGGAAATGAGAAACATTTCTGACAATGCTCCAGAAAGAGTCATAGCCTTCCAGAAGCAAGACTCGATAAAACAGCACCACTCAGAAGAGAACCCCCTACAGCAGGCCTGTCTGTGCACAAAAGATGAAGACCATGCGTGCCGTCTGCAAATACATGCAGGGAGGAAGGGGACATAATGCAAGCAGGCTAAAGATGAAAACGTTGCCCCTGGTTTCCACTTACCCAACACCAGCAGTTCCACGGAATCCTCATTCTTGCCTTCCAGGTCATCCGGGGTGGTGATGATGCAGTAATAGAGTCCGCTGTCTCCCCACATGAGCTTTCCGATCTGAAGATCTGCATCTGTTATCACAAAAGGAAGAAAGGCACTGAACAATGGGGCCTGGGACAAGAGCGCCCTTCTGGGACATCTACACAATTCTGTTGCTTTGCCTGGAGAGTGGTTGGAAAAAATGCTCGCTTTATTTCGAACAAAATAATACAAACTAGCATCCTCAAGGCAAGAGAAGCAGAGCACAGCCACAAATAGATCTAGTTCCAGTCCACTTTCAGGAGTAGTTGATAGCTTTGAATTAGGCCTACAATGGCGCCTAAGAATCGGGTAATTTCCCAAATAATTCTGGCTGGGTTCCTAGAAATAAATTGATTTCTTCAAATAATTTAATGATTGAATAGGTCATGAGATTTGTGACATTTTCTTATCTAAAGCTTTAGGGAACTGGAGAGAGGGTGGAATTGATTCCTCTACCTGGCTCTGTACTTGTATGCACACACCCCTTCCCCAGGAAAAGGCATCTTTAGGAAAGTCCACTTTTCAGGGCCAGTAAAGGGCAGGAAGGACAATGTCCAGGTACAGAATGTCTGCCTCAGGTTCTTCCACTAAAACTCATTTCAAATAGTCCTGAAAACCATCTCTAAGACTGGAGGTCAGGCTCTGAAAGGCAACCCCGGGGGCTTATTTCTGTGTTCCCGACATACTCTATCGTCTACACTCCCCTCCCTGTCATCCAGAGCAACACGCCGGGACTCCTGATGCTCCCATCTCCCACAAGATCAGACCCTTGAGGAGCTGAAAGGCTGACCTCCCTCCCACTCCCTGGGTCGAGAACAAGGGCACCAATACCATGAACTATGGTGATCTCTCTGCCCCTGTAGAAATCTCCCAGGGTAACGGTCGAGCCCTGCTTTGAAGCTACCACTCGAACGGTCCTCCTGCTGTCTAGACAGTCCAGGTAGGGGTCCCATTCCAGGTTCCTCTTGCTGAGAGCTTGGGCCCTGGGAGAGGACATGCCCAAGGATTCCCCCATGCGGTCCTGGCAGTAGGACTTGAACTTCCACTGCACCACTGCAGGCTGATGGGAGGATGTGGAGAAGTGGCAGCGGAGAACGGTGGGCTGGAAGAGCATGGCCACCTTCTTCTTGTCGGGCACTGTGACCTGCAGGCCTTCGACCATGGCTGCAAAACAGAAAGAACACGTCCAAGCCGTATCCGCGTCACGGGCCTCACCCCTTACCACGTGATCACATCATCGCTCCGCACACCCTTGGTCTGCACTCATTTGGGCTCACAGGTTCAGGTTCCCGTCCACGGTGATCGTGAGGCAGCCAGTCACACCGCATCCACAGTCACGAAACCGAGTGATGACTGTGTGCGCTTAGCTTGTGTTCTTCTTTTTACACAGTCCGGGTCCCGAGCCCTGGGAATGATGCCACCCACAAGGAGTAGGTGTTTCCACCACAACCTAAACCAGATAACCCTCACAGGCATGCCCAGAGGCTGTATCCCAGGTTATTTATTCTAGGTCTCATCTAACCACCACGCTTGGTAAGACATTCTAATATCAATCAGCTAGCTTCTTGCCTCCAGCCTCACCCCTTTGACATAACTCTGTGTGAGCACCGAGTCTCACAAATACCAACAACTTAATGTGAGCCATGTTAGTCCACATCTCCAGGTCTTGGCACATGATAATCCTTGTTTTGGGAAGGCTTTGCTTCACTTCCCTTGGAAATTTGTTCTCCATCATTCAAAACAGAATCCAAAGGCCTCTCAAAAGGCATCCTTTGACTGGCTTGTCCCTTCCTCCCTCATGTCAGCAACATATTCTTGTGTACACAGTTATTGTTAGCGATTCTGCGAGGATTTCTTTCCATGCCCTTTCAGGAAAGCATAGTATATTGTCTTGCCATCCTGGATTAGGAAGCCCAGGGGTGCTGAGAAAATACCTGATAAATAACAATGAAATCAGGAAGTATGACTTCAAGAGCCATTGACGTCCCTTCCGGATGGTGACCCAAACGAAGGGGAAGAAATAAAGGAGAAAGGCAGTCTCTCCAAGAAAAGGAGATCTCAGATCCGTAGACTAACTTGAACGGCTTTTAAGAGTAATCAAAAGCAGAAAAGACACGAAAACAAGATGAGAAGGGATAATTACAGTGAATGAGAGACCAAGGAAATTGGAGAGACAAAGAGCCTGTGCAAACTCACTAATAAAATCTAGAAATTCTAAGCAATGAGAACACAACTCCCTAAGTGATGGGAGAGTCTAGAATTTTGAGCCTAGAAATGTGTTAGAAGCAAAAAAAAAAGTGGGGAGGGGGAGGGGGAAGAATTGTGATGAGAGGCAGAGAAAAGGAGTATAAAGGTATATGGAAAAGGTTCCGGGCTGAATACAAGAATCGCCAAGTTGACTTCAGGTAGCTTGGAGCAGAAGGCTTTTCTCTTCTTTTCTTTTCTTTTCTTTTCTTTTCTTTTCTTTTCTTTTCTTTTCTTTTCTTTTCTTTTCTTTTCTTTCTTTTTCTTTCTTTCTTTCTTTCTTTCTTTCTTTCTTTCTTTTTTTGTTTTTGTTTTTTTGTTTTGTTTTGTTTTTTGTTTTGGCTTTTTGAGACAGGATTTCTCTGTGTAGCCCTGGCTGCCTTGGAACTCACTCTGTAGACTAGGCCAGCCTCAAACTCAGAGATCCACCTGCTTCTGCCTCCCGAGTGTTATGATTAAAAGCATGCACCACTGCACCCAACATGAGGCAGAAGGTTTTGCCTTAGAACTGCCGCAGTGAGACAGGTGAGAAAGGTGCTTTTTGGTGATAACCTTTTCCTCTGTGTCTACAGTACACAGCACTCACCCTCATAGCTCAAACACACTTCTTAGGCACAGGCCTCCTTACCGAAGCAGCCTTGACAAGAGTAAGATGTACTCATGTAGCCGGGCGGTGGTGGCCCACGCCTTTAATCCCAGCAGAGGCAGGCAGATCTTTGTGAGTTCGAGGCCAGCCTGGTCTACAGAGTGAGATCCAGGAAAGGCGCAAAGCTACACAGAGAAACCCTATCTCGAAAAACAAACAAACAAACAAAAAAATGTACTCATGTCTCCTGATTTCCAGACCCGTATCCCTCCTCCATGAGAGGCACAGTGAGAAACACAGGCCCTAATTCTCATTATGAGAAAATGATTTCTTCATTCCATGGAATTTGGTAGTGAACACAAGAGAGTGTTTTGGACCAGCCATGCGCTTGGAGGCTACCCATGAATAAATAAAGGAATGGATGAGCAAATATATGACTATTAGTATGAGAATTTTGAGGGCTTTGCAGAGGGAAGTAGTAAGTGAGTCATAGATCGCATAGTATATTAAAATAGTGTTGGCACCAAACAGGAAGGGCTTGGAATATCATCTGGCAACATACTAGTAGCAAGGCCTTAAAATCTGGGTAGCAATCTGAGATTCATTTTCCTCACCTACCCAGTAAGTGTCATAATGCTTTCTCCCAGGGACACAACACGAACATGACATCTCACGGGGCTCCTTCAAGGAACAGACTTAACAGAGGTTCCCTGAGAGGTAGATCTCACGTGACAACCCCCCACGCCATTTTCATCCTTGCCCTTGCTTCCTGTTCCGATGCCACCACATCTCAACGACCATCTCCTATCATCGGGTCTGCGCATGCGTAGACCACATTACGTGGCCCAGCCCCAGCGAGGGGTAAATAACAATTCCATCTGGAAGCGCAGTTGCAACCTCGCACCCCAAACGCTGCTGTAGCTAATTTCACTCTCCCTGACTCACGTTGCTACAATAGGAACATACATTGCTTTACAGTTACTCCTCAAATTACACAGCACCAAGCTTTGGCCCTGAAATACTTCGAATCTTTATTCATATTCCAGTTCTCCAGGAGATATAAATGGAGCAGAGAGGTGACATGGATTCAATTAATAATCTCTGCGTTTGGATGACACACAGGCACTATTGCTAGGATACACCATGCACTTGACCATGCCAGTTCTCTGCTCTGTACCCTGCTGAGACTCTGCTTGAGGAAATCACAGTCCCTAGCCTCTCTAGGGTAATTAAATCAGCAAGGGGGAAGAGTGCACCATAAAAGCATTGTTGAGGTTTTAAATGTTAGGTACTCTTATATTTTTTTTTAAGAGTCAAGTTTGGGGTTTTGTTCATTAGATGATTGCTGAGAATGACCTCCTCAGCAGCTTTGCTCTCTGTTAATGAGATCAGCCATTTGAGCGAGCCAAGCCATGGAACCCTCTTGATCAATTATTAATAGAAGTTAGTCAGTTCTCAGCTTCTTCCGTGATAGACACACAAACTCATGCTCCAAAGAGTAAGAACTACATTCTCGGACACATTTGCCTTTTTACAGCATGGAGGTTAAAGGCCTGGATTTGGGAATCAGTCCTAAATTAGAATCCAGCTATGTAGCCTTAGGCAAGTTACTCAACTCATGAGCTTCAGATTTCTCATGAGTAAAACCATAATAATAGTAACAGTCTTATGGGTTGTTTAAAGGTTAAATGACATTTTTTTCTAAATACTGATGGTAGCGGATGATATATATTAAGCACTGAAAAGAAGCAACTGCTGCTTTGTGGGAGACTGTGGGAGTCCAGCTCCGACCTGTTTCTACCTTTTGAAGGGTTCTTAGGTGGAGGAGAGAGGAATTAAGAAATGATAGAAAGAGAGACCTAGCCGATGAGAAGAAAGTCAGAAACTCAGGATAGCTTTGGGAGGGCCTGGGTCAATACCCAACAGCCTCGTCCTTTATTGAAAAGGGCTTTTTATAATGTGCCAATGGGAAAGGCAAAAGACCTCCCCCTTGCAAGATCAAAGCACACTGTACAGTCAAGTGTAGACCCTTCCAAACATCTGGTAAACATGCCCGTGGCCAAATCATCTCCTTATACAGTTCTGCTGGGTAAAGCAAGTTCAGATTCTCTGACCCTGAGTAAGTTCTCACTAGGAAGTCTCTGTGGCCTCCCACATGGCTTTTGTTACCGTGACTATCAAGAAGTATCTATTGGCTTCTGTGGAGCTGTGGTCCCCAAGCTTGGCAAGTGCAGATAGCCAGGTAAGAGCTGCTGAGTGTGAAAAAGGCAGAATGGTCAGAAGCTGGATTATATACAAGCATGCTGGAATATATCATTAGGAGTTCCACGGGGATAGTGTCTGGCTGTGCTCATCACTTCACTAGTCTATGTCCTTGAAGTCAGAATGGAGAGTTGTGTGTGTGTGTGTGTGTGTGTGTGTGTGTGTGTGTGTGTGTGTGTACGTGTGCACACACTGTATGGGTATAGATGCACACAGGTGCAATGGGACCCTGTACTGAAGACAGAGCTGGGTCATTTGAAAGGACAGGACCAGGAGTTCTGAGTGGCAGTTTACTAGACTTTTGAGGACTGTAAGTGTTAAAGTTTAAAGCTAAAAATGACAATTCCTGTCTCCACTTTGTAGGTTTCCAATGGTAAGGTGAGTACCATTCAACTCCCAAGGCTGCTCTGGCCCCATTCATCAGGAATCCATCCTCACAAGAAGATGAAGGTCTAGAACTGCTTTTCTGGCCCCAATCCTAACGTCTAGGGTGAGAGACAGGATTCCTTGTGCCCACTGGACAGCATCTCTTCTTCTCATCCTATGTTTGCCTCATACAGAAACTGTTCCCACTTTGGTGTGTGAGTTTGCACCCTAATTGCCCTGCCCAAAACTTCCCTTTGCTTTTTCCAGACCCCCATGGCAGCCCCTTCTCCAAAGGCTTGGGTATTCTTCCTGTGTCCCATCATGCATAGTTGAGTCCCATCTGAAACCATGATGGCACTATCCACCATGCATCCTCTTCCATGATGAACTGAAACCCTACAAAACTGTGAGTCGTTGGGAAGTGTGGTCACAGTGAGGCAAAAGTAACTAATACACCCCAGGTGAAAACTTCAGCTTTGATGATTTGTTCTCTGCCTTTGACATCATGCAGCTAGTCACTCAGTCTAAACATCTCTCAAGCTTGAATTTTCTCTATTCCTACTATAACCAGGTCCCTAGTTCCTCCTACCAGGTAATGGCTGTGCGGCACTATGTGTCAAATCCCTCTCTTCTAGCATTTTAATGAATTCTTCCAAAAGCCTATAAAGCAGGGGTTATTATCACACTCGTTTTACATATGAAAAAC